TCGGGGCGGGGGGAAAGAACGCGGAGTTTCGGGCCCTTCTCCGAGCCCCACCGGTGAGGCCACCACCAAGTTCTTGTGTCTGGGAAGCGCCTACCCCCCTTCCTCGCCTGACCTTAGGCTCCATCCCCGTCTCTTAACCTCGCTTCCTCACGGTCTCCCGTCTGCGACTTCCCCGTCCACCTGTCCCCTAGAGCCACCAGCGGAGAGGACCTCCGACCTCAGGACCGACCTCCTCCCTCCCCGCTCTCCCCCTCCCCTCCCCGTCCTTCATCATTCCGTTGAATGGCCTGCATCTTTGCGCCCTCTGGTTTCTAGCCTCCTCTGTTAGAGGTCATTGCCAGACCAGTCCACACTGTACCCTTTGAAGACCTTTTGCCTCCTGTTCCCTCTGCTTGGAATGCCCTTCCCTTTCTCCTTGCGCACCTGCCCAGCTCCTACTCATCCTTTTAACACCATATCCCCCTATGATGCTATTCCTGGCTCCCTCCAGGCAGAGTGAGTCATTCCCTTCTGTGTGTGCCTGCCCCGTTCATACCTCAGCCACCGCATGTGTCACACTGTTGTCATTTTCTGTGGGTACCGTCCCCATCACAGTGGGAACTTCTGGAGGGCAGGCTGCTTGTGATTCATTGCCATGTCCTCAGTATCTAGCAACAATAAAGCAGAGGGCCAGACACGCAGTGGTTGCCTTCCTCATTTCCTGAATGGTCTGCTAGTTGTCAGTCACTATACTTAAAGCTTTAGAGCCATTAACTCACCCTCTGAGGTGAGCACTATTATCTCTGTTTTACAGGTTAAGAAACTGAGGCTCAGAAAGTCAAAATAACTTGCTAAGTTAATACAGCAGAGAAATGGGGAGCTGGGATTATATGTAAACCCAGTCTGTCTGACTCCAGAGCCAGCCTCATGACCTCTGAATAACAGCTGAATATAGTAAACCAAGCATTGCATTTGGAGTCAGGCCTAAGCCCAGTTAAGTATTAGCTCTTACCACTTTTCAAATCTGAGCCTGGGTAAGCCTCAGTTTTCTCAAGTGCAAAATAAGAATAACAGTCCTGACCTGGTGTACCTCACAGGCAGCGATTGCATCGAATGGCAGATGCGGATAGGAGAGGTTAGCTTCCATGTGAAGCTGGAAACAGCTTCTCGGTGTCTGGGCTCTGCCTTCCTGATGACACTAGCTTTTCTCCTTCCCAGATTCTGCTGAAGTGATCCAGTCTCGAGTGAATGACCAGGAGGGCCGAGAGGAATTCTATGTGCACTATGTGGGCTGTGAGTGACCTGGGGTATCTGGGCCTGGGAGGGGGGAGAGGGGTGGGAGGACAGCACCCTCATGGCGCATCCTCACAGTTAACCGGCGACTAGACGAATGGGTAGACAAGAACCGGCTGGCACTGACCAAGACTGTGAAGGATGCCGTGCAGAAGAACTCGGAGAAGTACCTGAGCGAGCTGGCCGAGCAGCCTGAACGCAAGATCACTCGAAACCAAAAGCGCAAGCATGATGAGATCAACCATGTACAGAAGGTCGGGGCTCTCCCCTCCCCCAGGGCCCCAGAGGCTCCGCTGCCTCTGCCAACTTCTTTGGGTGCCAGTTCCAAAACCGCAACAGCTCCCATTTCTTAAGCTCCTACAGTGTGTCAGAGACTTCCCTATCTCTTCTCATGTGCTCTTCCCAGATGAGAAAACAGGTTCAGAGAGGGCAGGGGCGTGGCTACAGTCTCACAGCTAGCAAATGGCACAGCTGGGACTGGAATTCAGGCCTCCTGCACAGATAGTGTCTTTTATCGTTTATTGTTCCACATTAGACAAACCAACTTGAAGTCCAAAGGGAAGGAAAAGAATGAATGATATTGGGCACTTGCTATTGCCCAGAACTCTGCCGAGTACTCTATGTGTATAAACTCATCAACTATTCCTTAACAGTTAATACCACAGGGGTGTGTGTGTGTATACACACTAGAGGCCCGGTGCACAAAATTCGTACACAGGTAGGGTCCCTAGGCCTGGCCAGCGATCAGGGCCGGTCAGGGCCTTCCTTCCCTGGCTGGCTGGGGCTTTCCTTCACTCTGCACTGCCCCCTGGTGGTCAGCGCACGTCATAGTGAGCAATCAGTCTCCCGGTCAAACTCCAGAGGGGATACTTTGTGTATTCACCTTTTATACACACACAGGATGGGGCAAAGATAGGTTTACAGTTATTTGTATGGAAAATAATACAATAATAAAAGAATAAACTGTTTCATGTACTTACCACTGTAAACCTACTTTTGCCCCACCCTGTATATATTTTTTGTAGATGAAGAAATAGGCTCAGAGAGGTTAGCTAACATACCTAAGGTCACACAGCTAGTAAAAGGGTGGGCTGGAGTTAGAATAATAATGACAGACATTTATTGGCTTGTGACCCAAAGTTTTAGGCTAAGTGTTTGAATACATGATCTCACTGAAGTTTCACAACAACCCTGTGAATTAAGCATTATTATCCCCATTTATATGGGAGGTACAGATAGGTTTAGGAACCCAGTCAGGAATTAGATTTGCCACTGTCCAACTTCAGGGCACAAATCCTTAACCATGACTTTGACACATCCTAGAAATAGGCCACTTGTTTCCGAAACCTGGGTTCTTTTCATCAAGCCAGCCTGCCCCTGGGAGGTTACTTTTCTCCCACTCCAAGCCTCAGTTTCTTGATTTGGAACGTGGGGAATGCAAGAGAACTGGATTTATTGAGCTCTCAGGACACACAGACATTAGTTTTAGTTAATGCGATTTCTTCTAAGTGCTCGTGTGCTTTGCAGCAGTGTTTTGCTAACTGTGGGGCACAACTGTTAGTAGATTACCAAATTAGTTCAGTGGGTGGTGACCAGCATTTACATTTTTTTTAAATGGAAGAAAGAAATAGGATAAAAGAAAATATCAGAGTGCATTGCACTTTATTAAAGGTAAGTATTATTTTGAGAAGCTTTTATTTCACATACAAATACATGTATGTGTATGCATAAACATCAACTTATTTACAGCGCTAACTGCACTTCCTACTGTGGTTTGTGATAAAAATTAAATAAAAATTGAAATACCCTGAACTAAAATGACCCCTCAAGGTCTAAGGCAGCACTGTCCAATTGAACTTCCTGTGATAAATGGAAAAGTTTTGTATCTGTACTGTCCAATAGAGTAACCACATGTGGCTATTGGGAACTTGAAATGTGTTTAGTGTACTAAGAATTAAACTTCATTTAATGAATTTCAATTGAAGTAGCCACTTGTGGCTAGTGGCTACACTATTGGACAGCACAGGCCTGAGGTTCTCAGTTCCTCAACCAATTTGCACTGGCCAGTTAAGTCTCTAAGATGCACCTCTACACTGGCACTCAGCCAGGCGATGACAGTGGGCCAGGTGATAAAATCAAAGAATGGATAATCATCCAGTTCACAGGCAGCAAGATTCTTCAGAACCTAGTTAATGTTTAATTCTAAATGAATTGCAGCACTTAAGAAAAGCAGTGTTTTTGTAGTTCTTTAATGATTTGCAGAAGAGGATTGTGCTTTGTGAGAGCTGGGAAACATATTTTAAGGAGACGTTTGAGGAAGAAAATGAGGAAATCTTTCTTCTCCCATCTTTGCAGGGATTAGACTCGGGAGTTGGACCAGGGGCCTATGCCCAACTGTGCTGAGTACCTTTTCTGTGACGGGCAAGTGACTTCACCTCTTTGTGCCTCAGTTTCCTCTTTTGTGCAGTGCGGATAATGAGCAATCGTGTCTCAGGCTTATTGTGAGGACTAAATGAAATCATGCCTGTGGAGTGCTTGGCACTTGGAATAATGGCAGCTAGGTCATCCCCAGGGCAAGTGACCTCACCTCTCCCTGCCTGTTTACTTCTCTCTGAAACAGGAGTGAGTGCTGTCGATGTGAGGCCAGACAGCCCGAGTGCTTTGTGGAAGGGCCTTCTGAGGAAAACGTTGGCTCCTTTTCTCCCTTCTCACCTGCAGGGCAAGGCTACTGTCTACTCTGGTATAGGTCATAGGCCGTGGGTCCCCACTCCATTTTCAGGCTGTACTTGGTTCCTCCTACAGAGTCTGGCCTAGGAACAGGATGTGCTGTGAGTGTGACATGACTCTCAGTCCCTGCTTTCCAAGAACTTGGAAAATAGGGGAGCCAAGTGGGGCAGTTAGAGGTTATTGTTGTAGATCTCTGTGTTCCTGACTTGGAAAGGACAGGGTATATTCTGCATCGGGAGCATCCAGTCCGGCCACCTGGAGGGGATGGGAAGGATGCTGGGCCTCGAGGGACAGGAAAGAGCACAGTCAACGTAATTACACGTGATAGCTCACAGAGTTCTGCCTTATCATGTGTCACCTGGCTCACCCTCTTGCTAGGTTGAGTAAGCATTTTCTGGCAGCAGTAGGATAAAGAAGGGCATTCGAGGTGGAAGGAACTTTATGTGCAAAGGCACAAAGGCTGGAA